AATGAGTATTCAAATAATATACAATGAGGCGAAGAACGAGCAATTCACCTTTTCATCAGTTAAAAGAGAAAAAATAAGACAGAGCACTTTAACATTAAATTTCACCCCAATTTTTTCTCATCCTGATAAGTTTATCACACCTCGCCAACAAACAAGAAGTTGCATTTGACTTGGCTTGAAAAAAAAATTGGGTTTTACTCGCCAAATTTCCCAAGGTCGAGGTCCAAAAAAGAAAAGCTAGCGTATCAGCAGAACGATGGAAGATTTATACTATTCCCTGAGAGCAGAGGCAGTTTCGTAGTGTGAGTGAAGTGCGTAGACTTTTCGCGCCAGGAGCTCATATCGCAAAATGTAGACAAAAATTCCCCGACAATCAAATCGGTTAAATTCTGTGCTGCTGTATTCCTTTTTTTCATAGGTACCTCTAAAAAGCCTTTTTTAAACAAAGTATAAGTCTTAAATGCCTTTTTGACTAGAACGCGAGAGTGAAAAACTGCGTAAATCGACCCGAGTCAGAACGTAGGTGATCTTGTGTTTTATGCTTTTATCTCACCTATTGTATGTTGTATATGTAAAAACCTTCAATATGAATTGATATATTTCAAAGAGCTACATCAAGATCAAGGATACAATTGACCGACAACATACAGAACGGGGGCAGCTCTGATGTCAACTATTACTAGTAAATAACCCTTAAAAAATACAGACTTGTCATAACTTTAGGCGAAATAATCATTGACTTCCACAGTTTTTTTTCTTCAGGAAAGCATAACTGGAAATTTGTATTTTTGGAGGTCCGGAAACTGAAAAGCCTGTTATTTCTCATAGAGTAAAACAGATGTTCATAAATAAACGTATATTTCATGGCGGATGACCAAAAAAAAATGCACAGAATTCACTCGAATATATTGGCATTAAGTGTAAAATAAAATAATGCGGCTGTGTTCATGACGCTTGCATTCTATAGTTGTGTTTAATAATTAGCTCGACGCAACAAGCCGGGCAGTAACTTGCAATGTGGAAGCCCAAGAGGTTTCTTTTCCAGTCTTACCTAATTTAGTGACAGCCGGAGCACCGTTAGCTTTACTTCATCTGAGGTATTTTGAGAACAGAGCTCTGGAATCAGGGTACAAGTCGAGGCAGTACTCCAGAGAATCACAGGCAAACGTAGTTTGTTAATAATAGTTTTAAACCTCCGAATTGTGATCATATTGGAGGACTTTTTTTAAATCATTAAAATCAATTAATATGCCTTTAAATGGCAACAGACTACTCTAGCAGACTCGCAGCTCAAGTCAACTACGATTTAATGATCATGGCTATTCTCAGAAAACGGCTTTGAAATAAGTAATTTTATCAGAGTTAAGACGCAGTTGTCTGAATATTTTAAAGAAACTGCAGCCGGTACTTATTTGTTATGATTGATAGCAAATAGATACGTTATGTTGTTGACTGATTAAGGAAACATTTGTTGTATTACGTCGAAATCAGCAACTGTTGTGACTCCAGGAGTCACTGGCAGTGTTGCTTCTCAATCATGAAAAACGTTGCTACCCGAAAGAGCTTATGATTATGTATGATTTATCAAGCGCTCCGACACAAAGTAAATATCCACTTGTGTTTAAAAAAAGTAGCGGAAGAGCTTTGAATGCGCTTTCTTACGATACATGAATTTCGTTAGTAAGAAAAGTTGAGTTGGTCAGACTTCTAAACTCCCGATGAAGTTCTTTCAGCTTGTTCCTCCGGCGAATTGTGTCGGCGTGTAAAGTTCATTCGTCGTCTTCCTCATAATTTCGCGTCTTTGGACAAAGTAAATTTGAATGATCAAATAAAAATCACGTGCAAAATCAGATAAAGTTAATTTCTCAGCCACCACATAACACCGTCTAGTCTGTACATGCGCCCGAAATTTCGTAGAGAGCAAGATCAATGATTAAGTTGAATGTAGTTCGTCACAAACCTTTGACAGAATGATCTACTTGAACAACTCCTCTCTTTCTTCGATAACTCACGTGCACTCAGCTTGTGTTGGAAACAGTTAGTTGAAATAAACTGGCAAGGCCTCTCTCTAATCTGTGTTCATTTTAAAATCACTCCACCTTTTAAGTCACCAATCTAGAACAAAATTAATATTCATTCAAACCTTAAACATGATTGGTGTGGCTGACGAATCAGTGACATTGAAAGAAATGGTCTGATGTTTAAAGCTTGTTGTTACAATTGAATGTGTTAGCAATTTTACTTTCTGCTTATAGCAAACCAATCATATTCAGGCTTCTATAAAATATTTTTTCGCCCTATATTTCCAATTTTGATTGGTTGGTAATAACATGTCACGTGGCTGGTATGGTGTCAGAGGGGCATTATCAGTGCCCCAAGACTAAGAAAAAAACGGAAGCTAATCTATAGCTCATCTTTTCCAGGTTTGTTGCAAAATTCTCAAACTTTCTTTCAAGCTATATTTTATCTTAATATAGGCTTTCTTTTTATTTCTTATACCCGTGCAAAGAAAGTAATGTTTCTTGCTTTGATGACACGGTGAATAGTAATACATTCTCCTCTTAAAGAACCTTGATGTTGCGTGACACCTCCGCCTCCAGCCCCTTCTAGACCAAGTCTCTTCTTCTATACTTGGGCATTGATTTCATAAGCTATAAGATACCGGTAGTCAGCAGCGTAGCGTGAGATTTTGAAGGTACACGCAAGGGAAAAGTTAGGGCGCCGAAGGCGCCTCACACTTGGGACAGTCTGGGGGTATGCTCCCCCAGAAAAGCTTTAAATTTAGGGTCTCGGAAATGCCATCTCCTGTGTTTTCTGCAGGAAATGTTCTGTAAATAAAGACGAAGGAAAATGCAGTTATCAGTTGTTTATTTTACCCATCTCTAGTGTTATCTGTGAGGTAGAGTGTTTACGGCAAAAAGGGGGGAGGGAGGGTAAAACAATGATGCCTTCAAGGAGGTTACAAGCAAAGGGCGAGATGTGTACCCTTCAGACAGGCAAACTCTGTTATAATGCCATCAATATCAATTACGTCCCTGTGCTCATATGCAGAATTGCAAGAGAACTCAATTTCTCGTATGTCGTGGTCCTTTTTAAAGGAGTTTGCAGTCTCTTCATGCCGCTGAAGCTACGCTCAGCGGTGTATGTTGTCACAGGATATGTCAAGTTAACAAAGTTATGAGAACTACATATACTCCGGGATAGAATAGGAGTTGTCTTAGTCAAACGTCTCAACCAAGGTCTGTTGCTTCACATTTGGATCCATTTCACTCCACTTAATCAGTATAGTAAACGGATAAAGGAAATCCTGACACAAAAATACCAATGTAACGCGAAATGTTTGTCCCGATTTAATGATAAAAATGCTTTCAGGAAATGAAAGAAATCAATATATTTTTCCAGATTTCAGCTGTATTCATAGGCGTATGTGCGTACATGCACACTATATTCATAGTAGGAGAAATAGCTGATAGGTTCCTGGGCCAACCTTTATACGGGTAACATTTTGTTGCTGACAAGAACCTCCAGAGCGTATCTTTTTGTCGACTTTTGACATGACGGAAACGTGGATTTGCTTCAATCATAATGTAGTTTGACGACTTTTACATAGAAGGCCAGTTTTCCAAATTTGACCCTCCAAAATCGAGCCTCTTAGAAAATTGTACCCCCCTCAAAAACCCGCGCCCCACCCCCTTCCCGCCACTAGGATGTAATAATTTTGTCACTTACGCTGGATTGATGCAGACAGGTAAGTGGGCTTTACCGAAAATTCGAGGACTTTGAGGAATGAGATTCTCTGATATCTCAGGTCACCGCAGTATTCGGATCTGTATCGTAGTGCCAGATTGGTGATTACACAGATTACCAGTACATTAACTTTCCAATGTTTGTCGCAGTAAGTGTATTCAAACTTATTTTCTTATCGGGGGCTACCGCAGTCTAAATTCGAATGAAATGTTGCAATGGAAACCAAACACTAAGTTTTTCTGGTTGAAAAATTGTGAGCCACGGCAGTAAGACAAGAGCGAGCAAAAGGAGGTAAAATGGAGAAACCCGTCAAATCACACGTACACATTGTCGTCAGAAAAGCTTTTAGCGTGACAAACAGGAAGAATAGTTCTTTCAAAAGAATCCTTTCACAGCCGCTAAATATGTATGCCCTTGATGCTATAGCCTTCTGAAATATGGTGAATTCTCGGTGTCATCAAAGCACGAAACATTACTTTCTTTGCATGGGTGTAAGAGCCAGAAAGAAAGCCCAGATCAAGATAAAAAAAAGCTTGAAAGAAACTTTGAGAATTGTGCAACAAGTCTTGTAAAGATGAACTATAGATTAGCTTCCGTTTTTTCGTACGAGCGTTTTGGAAATGCTCTAATTTGCATAATTTCCATCGGGCCTTCGACCAGGCATGACCAGGTTGAGGCTGATTCTCAGCTTTCCTATTTTCGCAAAAATGGAGCTTCGCTGGAACTTTTAAATATTGTTTTTGAAAATAGTATACCAAAGGGTTTTTTTTGGTAAAATAAAAAAATTCGAATTTTTTGATCTGACGACGGATTCTGGATATTTACAGACAACGGCTCTTAAGCAGGTTTTCAGGCCTTTTCGTAGCCTCCGAAGGGCAGACGTTTCTCCTCGCTCATCGCCCCTAAGGGACGTTTAGCGAGGAGAAACGTCTGCTGTTCGCAGGCTAGCCTTTTCGTAGTGAAACAACTAATTTAAGGACAAAGCAGGAACTCCACCGCTGGCAGTTTATTCCAATAACTCAGTGTACCGAAGTTGACATGATAACTGATCAGGAGAAATCCAATCACAGACAACCGTGGTGAACTAGAAAGCTACTTAAAGCAGTCAAATTCAAATTTCTAATCAAAACTGTAGAGGACATTGTAAAATAAGCGCTGTCCTGATTTTCTAATCTTTAAGTTTGCACTTTCCACAAGATGCACTGTCAGCAAAAGCCCTACATGATAACGAAAATAAAATTTCGGTGACATCTTCATGCCCATTGGTCAATGTCACCCAATGACATATCTTTCATTTTCTGGATCTCAGTAAAACTAAAGTCAACATGTCCGGATAACAGACAGCTGTTGGTAAGCGATTCACAGATGTCACTAGCAATTGCCTTCAAAGGAACCATCATGGCTTCAATGTCGGGTAACTCGCCATTTGCTTCCTTCGCCATCATTTCTGTTCGTGATGTAGTGGTATCCACCAATGTGAAGAAACTTTTGACGGAGCCACTCAAGCTTGCTGATTGTTCCTTTCTTTGCTTTATCTCTTGTATGCGTCTCTCAATCATTTTCAACTCCTCTGATTTCTCTCTCTGTTGTTTTTCTAATCCTTCCAGGTCCGATTTTACGTTGCGAAGATTTCTTTGTTTGCCTTCTAGCCTTTCTTCTGCGCGTCTCTTGGCATCCCGGGCTGTATCAACTGCTTTTCTAGCCTGCTCGATATCAGCATACGCAACAGTACCACCAACACCGGCACCAATTACTGCTCCAGCGGGTCCGCCAACAACCAATCCAATGAGGGTACCTCCTACAGCTTTTAGTGCGCTTTTCTTTTTAGCCTCTTCAAGCTGATCTTCCTTTTTCTTTGCAAAAGAAATGGCTTCATTAAGGTTAACACGTTCCCTTTCAGCTTGCTTTTCCGCTTCAAGAACATCTTGTTGTAGAGTGTTTCCCTTTTCTTGTAGTTGTTTCAAGGTTACCCCAATTTCTGTAAGCTGGTCATTGGCTTTTTTTTCGTCAACCAAGGTAACTTGAAGTTCTTTATCAAACGCCTTATTTATCTTGTCTAACTCTGACAGAGCAGGAACAAAGGCTTCATAAGCTTTGTTGACAAGATCATGCATCATTCTTTGACTAGCTGCACTGATATTATGTGGAGTGTTATCTGCCATCTGTAAAAATTCTTTCAAGAAGTTAAGACCGCTTGTAAAGTGTGTAGAGACTTCTTTTGATTCACTTGGCCAACCTGTATTAGGAAAATCAGCCCAAACTACATCAGCTTAATCCATTTACAGAGTTTACAATCCCTCAAGACATCACAGTTCTGTTAATGCCCAATTATATTAACACGGTACACCAAGAATTCACTCTCCTTATACACCACAGGCAATATCACACAGGATGAGTTTAAGTCATGAGGTACAAGCCTCAATCATTTTGTACCCGAACGGTTAATAGATTCATTGGTCCGAAAGCCTAGCAAATGAGGTAGTCGTGATTAGTGGACAAGCTGAAAAACTGTTGACTAACACACGGGCATTAAGATAGATATTAACGAATGTAAATGGCAATGAATGGTAACCCGATCGAGGATACTAATACCATGATGTTGAGAAACGCCATTGGTGACTTAAAGAATGCTCATGCAAAAGGTAAAAGATACAAAATACAGATGAAGTGTTCGAGATGATTTTTCGGTGTAGGAGAAAAAAGCGAAGAAATGAAGCCTGGCTAAGAAACGAGAGAGGAGAAAGTGCTACAAAAAGAAGAAACAAAGAAAGGCATGTTAGAACTCTGTTCAAGAGAAGATCAGAAGCGCTAAGCAAGGAAGGTGGACCAAAATATCAACGTCAAATGGAAACCACAGAAATAGTCTTTTACAAGTTCGAGAAAAGATATAAAATAATGATCACCCTTTAAAACGGCCTTTTCAAACTACATATGCACGCGAAGTTTTGAATACTGCACTAGGGGAACTTGAATTGCTGGTTCAATGAACAAAATCTGGCGTCGGCCACACGGGCTTTGCACATTGCATGATAATGATGTTGCGGAAAAAGTCGTGAGTATTTGATTGCTTAGGTATTAACAGAGAGGGTATTCAGATAAACCGTTTTGGAGATTTTACCCATTCTTTCGTAGGCTAGGTTACTATCATGGCAATTTTTTCTAATTTTACAATCAGAATTCATCTGAAAAAACAAAGGTAGCCCACCTTATGTAACTTTTCTTACTTGTTACTGACCTGGATCCAGTCACACTACTCACCGTAAAACAAGCATGCCATATTTGATTTTTCTTCGTCACTTTCTGAACCAGCTGAAGTCATGTCTACAGAAAAGGAAAATGACAGTAAGGTAGACGATAACAAAAATTCCCCGACAATTAAATCTGTTAAATTCTGTGCTGTTGTATTCCTTTTTCACAGGTACCTCTAAAAGCCTTTTTAAAGCAAAGTATAAGTCTTTTAAGACTTAAGGCATTTAAAAATGCCTTTTTGACTAGAACGCGAGAGTGAAAAACTGCGTAAATCGACCTGAGTCAGAACGTAGGTGATCTTGTGTTTCCTGCTTTTATCTCACCTATTGTATGTTGTATATGTAAAAACCTTCAGTATGAATCGGTATATTTCAAAGAGCTACACAAAGACCAAGGATACAATTGACCGACAACGTACAAAGAGGGGGCGGCTCTGGTGTCAACTATTACTAGTAAATAACCCTTAAATACAGACTTGTCATAACTTTAGGCGAAATAATCATTTTTTCCCGGAAATTAGAACTGGAAATTTGTATTTTTGGAGGTCCGCAAACTGAAAAGCCTGTTATTTCTCATAGAGTAAAACATATGTTCATAAATAAACATATATTTCATGGCGGATGACCCTAAAAATGCACAGAATTCACTCGAATATATTGGCATTAAGTGCTAAATAAAATAATGCGTCTGCGTTCATAGCACCTGCACTCTATAGTTGTGTTTAATAATTAGCACAACGCAACAAGCCGGGCAGTAACTTGTAATGTGGAAGCCCCAGAGGTTTCTTTTCCAGTCTTACCTAATTTAGCGACAGCCAGGCGCTAAGCTAAGCTTTTATAATTTGTCAAACCGGAACACCGTTAGTCCGTTAGGTTTACTCATCTGAGTTATTTTGAGAACGGAGCTCTGGAGTCAGGGTACAAGTCGAGGCAGTACTCCAGAGAATCGCAGGCAAACGTAGTTTGTTAATAATAGTGTTAAACCTCCGAATTGTGATCATGTTGGAAGACTTTTTTTTAATCATTAAAATCAATTAATATGCCTTTAAATGGCAACAGACTACTCTAGCATACTCGCAGCTCAAGTCAACTACGATTTAATGATCACGGCTATTCTCAGAAAATGGTTTTTAAATAAGTAATTTTATCAGAGTTAAGACGCAGTTGTCTGAATATTTAAAGAAACTGCAGCCGGTACTTATTTGTTATGATTGATAGCAAATAGATACGTTATGTTGTCGACGAAACATTTGTTGTATTACGTCGAGATCAGCAACGGTTGTGACTCCAGGAGTCACTGGCAGTGTTGCTTCTCAATCATGAAAAACGTTGCTACCCGAAAGAGCTTATGATTATGTATGATTTATCAAGCGCTCCGACACAAAGTAAATATCCACTTGTGTTTAAAAAAGGTAGCGGAAGAGCTTTGAATGCGCTTTCTTACGATACATGAATTTCGTTAGTAAGAAAAGCTGAGTTGGTCGGTGTAAACTCGAGACAAAATACAGACTTCTAAACTCCCGATGAAGTTCTTTCAGCTTGTTCCCCCGGCGAATTGTGTCGGCGTGTAAAGTTCATTCGTCGTCTTCCTCATAATTTCGCGTCTTTGGACAAAGTAAATTTGATTGATGAAATAAAAATCACGTGCAAGATCAGATAAAGTTAATTTCTCAGCCACCACATAACATGAACACTTGTTCATAACACCGTCTAGTCTATATAGGCGCCCGAAATTTCGTAGAGAGCAAGATCCATGATTAAGTTGAATATAGTTCGTCACAAACCTTGGACAGAATGATCTACTTGAACAACTCCTCTCTTTCTTCGATAACTCACTCAGCTTGTGTTGGAAACAGTAGTTGAAATAAACTGGCAAGGCCTCTCTCTAATCTGTGTTCATTTTAAAATCACCCTACCTTTAAAATGACCAATCTAGAACGAAATTAATATTCATCTGATTCATTCAAACCTTAAACATGATTGGTGTGGCTGACGAATCAGTGACATTGAAAAATATGGTCTGATGTTAAAAGCTTGTTGTTACTTGAATGTGTTAGCAATTTGACTTTCTGCTTATAGCAAACCAATCATATTCAGGCTTTTAAAAAGACTTTTTTGGCCTATATTTCCAATTTTGATTGGTTGGTAATAAAATGTCACGTGGCTGGGATGGTCTCAGAGGGGCATTATCAGTGCCCCAAGACTAAGACCAAATCATTTGAGAATTTCAAAGTTAACGACGGAAGAGTGGAAATTATCTCAAGCACCAGTTTTCTTTCACAGGTTTGTGCTGTTCGCTTAGTTAGTGTTTTTCGGCTGGCATTCGCTCTTCTGCAGCGGTGAAAGTTTTGTTAATAGCTAGTACTCTCCAACGTTGCACTCAGTTTCTTTTTTTGTTAATTGACCTAAAACTTAGCGAAGTGCTTTTCAGTTACGCCACGAAATGAACAAAATAACCTCTTTTGATCAGGTTGCATCAGACTGAAGTTCCATAAGCAAACGTCAGTTACTTTTAGATTACATGACATAGCCTTTCGTGCTTTAGGCATAAAATCACCCACGGCTTGTTTTCATTATCTGCATGGATGTGTACCCAAAATGCTTGCCTGCTAAACAAAACTGTCACTTAATACATTGCATTTACAAATAGTCGTAGGTTGCTCCTTGATCTTCCTTAGTCGATTGGCAAAGTCAGCATTCTTAAATTCAACAAGCAAAAATTACTTGTCTTAGAAGGTGTTATTTGCATCGACGATTAGCATTTCGTTATCAGTTCCGAGAAATAGGAAAAGAGATATTCGACAGTGTAGGAAAGAACTGAACTGGATGGATTTGATTTGATTTATAATGCTTTGCCGACTTTATATAGTCAGCATTATGTTCTCCATTTTAATGGTATTTTGTGGAAATTAACTGTGGTTGTGGGTTCCCGAGACAAAGATCAGTTTTGCCCCTGGGTCGTGAATAATGTTGCCCTCTGAATCGAAGGAGCTTAGATCAAAAACAGAATCCATGTAAAGGCACAAAATGTTTGGGTTTTACGCTGAGGTGCAACAGTGGATAGTCGTAGATGTATTAGATACATTTTAAAACCCTTAAATCATGACTTGATTGCTAATTCTAAAACTGAAAGCAAGTGAGGGACATTGGAATGTGTCTGTTGATTTTATCGCGAACCAAGAGTCACTGAATTTATCATATCTCGCTTAAACGTCAAAAACCTAAGCTGTAATCAAGGCTTTTTAGTAACGCCACGAAATTAACAAGATTATGTCTTGTGATTTGTCGTAAGGTACAGATACGGTAACACCACACATATGTTCTTGCAACGGTAACTCTACAACTTGTGCGTAGCGCCAATAGACTACAAGTAAAGTTATCGAGATCAGCAAACTTTAAAGGGATCTCGTTATTCGTTTGGTCAATAAGCGACTCAGTGTGAGGAAAATTGGGCAACTAGGGCAGCGAGAAGCGAGAACAGAAAATACCACTAGGTTTGAAGGCTCGGCCTGGCATTGCATGCCTAAGTAATAGTGAAAATTGATCTGGGTCCGCAGATTAGGAGAGATCGTGTTGCTCGTTAATTGTAACGGCAAGTAACAGGTGAGTCAGGTCTCTGTTGCCAGTGTTTTTGAGGTGGGAAATGTCGATTACAGGGAAGTGGGCAAGACAGTGTGCGAGTGTCTGAGACACCTTGGCGGACAGAATACACCTGAGATTTCACCTGAGATTAAAGCAATACGGGGATCGAATTTTTTAACTGGAGGACACTTACGGAATTTCTTTCTTAGAAACCAGCCGATGGCTTTTCAGAAATTTTGGAGATAAATCGCTCGGATGAATTGGAGTTAACGGGTTTAATTGGCTATAGGCACGAATGTTTTTTTGGCTTTCAGAGATCGAGAGCCCATTATAAAGGAGGTTTGATTCAAAATTCCTTGATTGTTGTTGAGTCCGTTTGCCAACAATTTCCATCCCCCTAGCTCTGATCCCAAACTCTCGCGAAATGACTTCCAGCGAGTCCGATCGAATATTGCCAAGATGAGCCCTTACAGTCTCCGTCTGATCTGATCGAGTTCGTTTGCCCACAATTTTAATGAGCCTCGGAAATTAGTGACTGTTTTTTTTTTAAATTTAAGAGGGTAACTTAACGGGTATTGGATAGCTCATTCATAGCATTTAAAACTGACGGCATTCAGACGAGACACGATTGACTTATGCGCGTAGTATCGTTCATTACAGAACTTTGGATGGGTAAAAAACGTCAGATCTTGCCTCATCACGCATGTTTTACCACTCCAGCCCACGTTTTGTCACTCCAGTCTAGTTCATGTTTTATCATATGCAAAGTCTAACATCTTTCACGTGCAAACTACGTGCACTAAGGTGTTTGTAAAGCCCTAAAATTTAATACTGTGGTATAATTAGATTAAGTCGAATTCTTTCACGTACGAACCACAATCGATCGATCTAGTAGGCTTGTTTTCATTATCGAAAGATATTAAGTAAAAGTATTTTCCTGCGAAACTAAACTAGTCATGGTTTGTTCTTTTAACTTTCTGAGGCGAGCGGCAAAGTCAGCATTCACATAAAGTTTAACAGGCAAAATCGTTTGTCATGCACCAACTATTAACAGCGGAAACAGTAGTTCCAAGAAATGTAAGAAGAGGTGTTCGACTTGTGAACTGTTCTAGATGTTCTAGCAACATCCCAATGTTTGAAAAAGAAGTATTTACTTTTTTATCTTTCTCATTAAGTTTTAGCTCGGAATTTATTTAGTTATAGTATGTAATTAACTCTGCGGGTTTGTAATAATAATTAAAAGCAAGCATTTTTCACTTTAACTCCACATCGAGTCTTGTTGCTTCAGATTGATTCAGAAATGACATTTTCGACGCATTTGGTCCGCTTTGTACTTCTCCACAAGATACAATTATTTGCGACTGACAGTATAAATAGGAAACGCCTCAATGAAGAGGTTTGCATCATTATCATCAACTATTTGCCTAAAAGCAGGGTGTGAACGCTGAACTCAGTGGGTGGATGTATTTCCATGTACCTGTGAGCGACTTGATTTTGTTTGCTATTGGATTAACCTGGGAAGAGATATTCGACTTGCGGTAGGATAGAACTGAACTGAATGGATTTGACTTATTTGCATGATGCTTTTGCCGAAACTGTTTGTTTTTATGTATATAATGTATACAGTACTATTAGATGTATTTTAAAAAACCCTTAGCATGACTTGATTTGTAATTCTGAAACTGGAAAGAAGCGCAGGCATTTGAGACTGGAGGAAGCTTACGGAATTTTTTCGTTAGAGGCCAGTCTTTCCGGAAATTTTGAAGATAAATCTCTCGGATGAATTGGAGTTAACGGGTTGAATTGAATATAGTCAAGAATGACTATATATTGAATGTTACAACAAATTTTAAAAGATACAGCAATTTGTTAGGCGAGGAGACCTCACGAAACCACCAGGCCTATAGGAGAAGCCCACCCCGAAATCACGATATTATAAGAAATAAGGGCTGCGAAGAAGTGCGGCTTAACTAATTCAGTAACTATTTCAATAGAAACTCCAGCAATTTGTAGACTTTGGTCCGCTTAAAGATAGAAAAGCTTGAAAAGTTTGTAATAGATGCAGGAAGACAGTTCTAGATTCTAGGTCCTTTGTAAAGGATTGTGAATTTCTTGATGTTCGTACGACAGGAATGCACTTGATAATATTACTGACTGTTCTTGTGTCATATCTATGGACTAGACTGTTTGTCAAAAACAGATTGAGGAAGGGTGGAGGCAGCATATTATTGTGGTAGCGAAACATAAATTTAGCAGTATCGATCGAATATCGAGCCTATTTACGTGGAAAATATCTAGAATTTCCAATTTGGAGAAAAGAGGAGCAGTATGCGCTCGATAGTCGATAATAGTATCATTGAACAGACTGAAGATGTTCTTAATGGTGGCGACTTTTTAAAATCTTAATACAGAGAAATTTAATCTCGTAAACAAATTGCATTCTTTCAAGTACGAACCGTACAAGGGGAAGCATATGATAAACGATGGACTGGATTGGAGTGATACCACATGAGATGATAAAACATGCGTGATAACTACGCGTAAGTTACACGTACAACGTTTTGCCTCTTAGAAATTTAAGAGGGTAGCTTGGCGGGTATCGTATAGTTCATTCATGATATTTAAACGGTATTTAGACAAGATACAATCGACCAACGCGTAGTGTCGTTCATTATGGAACTTTGGATGGGTAAAAAACTTTTTTGCTTATCAAGCACGTTTTATCACTCCATGCGTTATCCAGTACATGTTTTTTCACTCCAGTCCAGTCCAGTCCATATTTTATCGTATGCAAAGTCTAGCATCTTTCACGTGCAAACTGCGTGCACAACAGTGTTTTTAAAGCCTTGAAATTTAATACTGTGGACCGTCTGTGGTATAATTAATTTCTTTCACGTACGACCCACGAACGACCGCTAATTACATATGACATTTTCCCGGCTCCCACAGCGTCTCATTTGGGTTATTGCGCTTTGATGGTAGAAATAGATCGATCCAGAAGGCTAGTTTGCATTTTAAAGGGATATGAAATTCAAGTATTTTCCTGGTAAATCATTGCAAGTTCTAAACAAAACCTGGTCCTTTGAACTTCCTAAGTCGCAAAGTCAGATTTTGATAAATTTAACATTCAATACATTTGTCATGCATCGACTAACAATATTCCAAGAAATACAAGAAGAGATATTCGACTGTTTTAGCAAAAATCACAATCTTTTATCATTATTTATCGGAATTTATCTATGTATATTTGTAATTTCATATTCTGCTTGAACCGACTCTGCGGGTTTGTCTTCAACGCAAGCGAATTTCATTTTAGTGCTTCATATCGATTCAGGAAATGACATTAATATTTTTGACGCATTTGTTCCGGTACTTCTCCAAAAGATAACATTATTCGTGATTGATAGTGTATTGTGGATGCCAG